GTGATCACATTCCCAGACAGTTGTGTGGTGGGTTTCTATGTGGTATAGGGCAAGTTATGTTGGGTAGGTGGGGCTCATCAGCCTTGGGAGGCAGCCCATCTAGGAGAAGGAAAACTCCGATTTCAAACCTCCACTGCCTTGTGGCTATATCCACCAATGGAAAAGGCTTCAGGAGTAAACCTTGAGGCAAAATCTGGAGCCGGAGTCCCGGAGGCAGTTAGTGTCGTTCTGGCAACTCCTGCAGCGTCGCTGGAACCAGTTGTATTGGCTCTTGCCTTTCCCTTGGACTATTTCAGCGACGTAGAGAGGGGGATTTGCTGCTTGGGTAACAGCCTATCCTCCATATTATTTTACCCAAGCTTTGTGCTCTGGAGAGGACACTCTAGCTTCACATACAGCATCGAAATAACTCAGGAAGTAGCAGTTACCGGTTATAAGTCTTTGCTCGATTGGCGTAGAGCATGATGCCAGGGGCTACTTCTGACAGTGGGAGAGGTCATTGCACCTCACTAGGTAGCTACTGCCGACCTTAAGCTGGGCAGTCCCCAGCCAGTAAGCTGCTACCTCGTCATGGTCTGTTAACCTCACGGGGTGTGTGGGGTTTAGGGTGAAAGCTGACAAGCAGATTGATAACCCTGCACCATGCAACAATCATAAGAAAGTCTAGATTGAGAGCGAAGATCAAAGTCCAGCTGAAATGCATGCGGGACTTCGCCGATGATGCAGCTGTTTTTGCCCATTCTGCTGAATCATTTTAGCAAGGCCTGCCAAGACTTTGGATTGACAACCTCCCTCTGTTACCATGTCCACACAAAATTGGAGGTTATTCATGACTTTGTCTAAGCCACTGAGCTATTCAGCAGTTTATGAATACAGTTTCTCTTTACAAAATTGCGCACCACAGTTTTATCTCTCAAACAACTGTTGTAGTATCTGTGGACTCTTTCTGATACAAGGGGGTGTGTTTGTGGACTGTGGTAGATTTTCAAGTACTGTACAATAGTTAGAGGGCTGTGATCTATCTTTGCTGAGAGTAGATCCCAAACATGAAGACAGAACAAAACAATCTTGTACAATATGCAGTGATGTCCCCATTGTATTATACAAATGCCATGTGCAATAATGCCTGCACTTATTTCTGTAACTGTCTGAGATTTCCTGTTAAACTTAGATGTGGCTTTACCACAATGTAATGAACAATATGAGGGGTCATTAATTATTATTATCCACCACAGCAGTTCGTGACACAATAGGTTAAGCAGAAATGCAGATATACCAAACAGGCTGCTTTCCCCCCCTCCCTCTGGTCTCTTAATTAAATGTGCACACTCAGTCACCACAGAATGAAATATAAACCTTTTTTTTTCATGTATTCAGTGTGTGCTTATAAACTGGGCCTGCATGCTCTGTATTTCCCTAGAGACACATGCAGCTCACTAGGGACATTTACAGGCTTAAACACAGGCTGGATTATCTGCAAAGGACAGAAGAAATGGGGTGGGGGAGCAGTTCTTAAGCACCACCATACCTGTCTGGTAAGCTGTATCAGGGTCTGCACATATCATTTTCCTGCCTGGAGAAGAGGATAATATCCTTTCTTCCAACTCTGTGTTGAGACATTGTCCAGCTTGGAAACTGACCTCTGTTTGCAGAAGATCCTCCATAGGGGCGACCATATTCGGTGCCTGTATAGTGAGAAATCCGCAAGCATACACAGCGGGGAGCCATTTTACACAGCCAGCGGCCATTTTGAAGCCACCGATCAGCTGTTTTAAAATCGTCCTAATGTGAAGAATTGGTTTCCTAAACAGGGAAACGATTGTAGCAAAGCAGATTTTGCCTATTAAAACATTGTTTTGCAATCGCGAAAGCGATTGCAAAACAGTCATCGTATAGCGGTTTCGTCATTTAACGAGGCAATCATTAAGCGAGGCACCACTGTAGAAACACTGTGCCTCAGCATTCTGGGCTTCTTGTTGCTCTCTGCCCTCTGAAAAGAACACGGCAAGAAAAACACTTGACTTTGAAGTTCCCAGTACTTAGTCCAGTTGGAATTTATATGCCCTATTCAGTCATTCCCACCTGTATAAGCTTATCATTCTGAAGAAGGTTGTGGCTAGCCCTTCCCTTCCATCATGGCTTCCCAGACACAGAAGACAATAATCTGCAGAGGAGATACCAATGTGTTTTCCAGCATCTCCTCTGGAGGGAATGTTATTTTCCACTTACAGCAATTGATAGAGTATGGCATCCTTGGAAAAGTGGGTACCTATTTTCATGGGTTTTGATTATTTTATTTTGCCCATCAGCTCTGTGTGCCCAAAGCCAATGCCTTGTTATGTCTCTGCCATTTCGCTCCTAATTATGTGGAATGCAGCACAGAGTCAAAACACATGTACAACAAGGCCTCATCTGATGGCTGCTGGTGAAGGTCAAGCCCAAGCATGAGAGCACTTTGAAGATCTTGAGACTGGCAAAAGTTGCAATATGTAAATCAACTTTTATTAGAGAATATTTCAACAATGATGTAGACTGAAGCAGTGAATAAAACAAGTTCCAGAACTGCAGCTGTAGACAAAGAAATTAGTTATTTACGATGTATTAAGTGCATACTGGATTATGCAAACAAGTTTCAACAATGGAAGATTTAATACCCAGCAGGAATGCTGGATAGCTCAGTGAGTCTGGGATAGCCAGATGTTAAGACTTTGATTCCCCAATGTCCCTCCTGGGAGAAGAGACAGCCTGTGTAGCCTTGAGCAAACTGCTCTACTGTCTTCCCACAAAACTCTGCAAATGATTGCTATGAATCAGATTTAGCCTGAAAGCACATAATTATTATTGTTAGGAATGCTGAAAGTCCGGAGGGTGGGCCAAGTCCAGTCTCATCTTGCATGTGGCCAGCTGTATCGTGCCAGTCATCTTCTGGGCACAGATTTTTAGTGTCAGGAGTGTCTCCTCCGGGACCTGGGGGTCTTCCACAGGCATTCTCAACTGGAGTTACTAGGATGGGCTTTCCTAAGAGATACAGCGGACATTTTAAGGTATGCAAATTGAGGGGAAAGAGTTCCGGAATACTAGATTAGATGTGCACAACGTAAAAGGGATCATTGGTGAATTCGTGAGGGAGTAAAACAGGGCACTGAGGCTTTTTCCGTTTTGCATGGAGTAGTTGAGTTATACGATACGTAGTCCAAAGTTGTGCAGAGTGAAGTAGTGTCCAACCTCATTCGAAGGAAGGCAAGCGTTCTGTCTCTTTTAGGTGTCCCATAACCCTCCAATTCCACTTGTTTATGGAGCTACCTGGTGGGTTGTAGTTTTGAAAGTTGCTGCCATGATAGTCTGTACAAATGTATCAACAAGAACCACAAAAAGAAGAGAACTGTGGTGTTTTAAAGAATAATGGCTATGTTTTAACGTAAGCTTTTGTGGGACATGAAGAGGGCACGTTCCACGAAAGCTTAGTTATAGAGCAGATAGTCTTTAAGGTGCCACAACATCTTTTTTTGCTTTTGTTTTGCATTTCTTTTGATACGCCCACCAGAGGGATCTCATTGGGCTCCTGTGCATATGGTGGATGCACCCATGTTCACTGCAGAACTGGATTTTAGGGCCTCTCCCCTAACCAAAAACGAAGAGGGCATTCTCTGGCTTGCTCCTTGGGCTGGTCATGTGTGTGGAAAGCCTGTGTGTCTCCCCTCCACCAGGCTAATAGGCTTAAAATTCACAAACCAGAAGGGAAGGAAGCAAACAAATACAGTGGACCCTTGACTTACAGACGGCTTGACTTACAGACTTTTTGAGTTACAGACTTCTCTGGCCGCAAAATTTAGGTTTGACTTGCAGACTGAGATTTGACTTACAGACCAGAAAAAAACCAAAATGGAACAAAAACGGCCTGTTACGGGATTAATCGGTTTTCAATGCACTGTAGGTCAATGGAGACTTGACTTACAGACTTTTTGACTTGAGAACCTCCTTCCAATACAGATTAAGTTCTCAAGTCAAGACCCCACTGTATTTAACCATAAATTTATGGTTACAATGTTGGACATTAACTATTTTGTGGTACAGTAACTTTTACTGGCTGATTGGGACCAGACAAAGATGGCAAATTCCTGGCACGTGAAATAAAATCTTGATTTTCATTTAATTGTAGGGCATGCATGAACTCAGTTAAATACAGTGGGGTCTTGACTTGAGAACTTAATCCTAAATTTTGCGGCCAGAGAAGTCTGTAACTCAAAAAGTCTGTAAGTCAAGCCGTCTGTAAGTCAAGGGTCCACTGTACTGTACTGCAAAAACTGCAAGGGAGCTCTTATGTGCATGGAGGCATGTATGGAATCTGGCCTGAAGACGACCTTGGCTATGAACTTAGTAGAGATGTACAATTCCCAAAACTTTCCACACCCCCCACTCCAGCCGCCTAGAGTGGTCCGGTGGCCCAGATAGGCGAGATATAAATCAAATAAATAATAATAATAAATAATAAAACGTTTTAACCTCCAAAATTGAAATTTCCCACAAATTTTACATCTCTACTTCAGAGTCTTCAGTAACTTTCATTTTTCCCCCCAGGAAAACAAGGTTCCCCCCCCGTTTTTTTCTGGAAAAAAATTGGAAATGTTCAGAAATTTTACATCTCTAGGTCTTAAGCCTTTTTCTTTTCGGCTCTTTTCCTACCCCACCCTTGAATGTCAACTTTTTAAATCCTTCCCACCCCCCTTCACACCCAAAGCAAGGGAGGGAAGGGTCGGAAGCGGCCGTGCTTAGAGGTACGGTCGCACCTCGCACTATCTACCCTCAGGGGCCACCACCAGCCATGGTGAGCTCGCCAAACGCTAAACAACGGCGGAGGCGAGACCTCGCCTGCCTGCTAACCCCTCGTCCCAACTGCGCATGCGCAAGGCGGCTTGCTACGCTAACTCCCCCCTTACGCCGTTTGCGGTAAGGCTTCGCACTTCGCTCTCACCGGGGCCTGCAAAGTGCGGTGGAGGGGGGGAGATTGATATTGCGCTTCCAGCGCTGAACGCGCGCGCAGGCGCGTCAGCGAGAAAGAAGGTCGGCGGGCCGCCCGGCCGCTGGCGTAAGGCACATTGGTGAATGGCGTAGCGGGAGGAGGCCGTGGCGGCGGTCGTAGAAGGAGCGCTGGTCGCCAAAGGCAGCCAGCGAGGAGCCGCCGCCGCCGCAGCACTGCGGAGTGGGAGGAGGAGGCGGCGCCCGCGCGCGCGGCGGTTTGGTACCGAGCGGAGAGGGAGATGCACACGGCACACTCGGGCTGAGGTAGCTATAAAACCCCGTTTGTTTACCTTCCCTCCCCCAGACACGGGCCGGCCGGCCGGCTGGCTCGGTGGCGGCGGCGGCAGCAGCAGCAGTAGTAGCAGCTCTTGACAAGGAAGAGGGGAGGGGGAGCGCGTACACACATACTCACACGCATATACAAGCACACATACACACGCAAGCACGGGCACACGCCGTGGCGGCCCCCTTGTCTCCCTGAGGAGAAAGGGTTCCGCTTCGGCGGGAGCGGCTTCCCTTCCCTGTGGGGTGGCTCTTGCTGGTTGCCGCCTCTTCTTGCCGTTATGGGGGAGAAAACGCGGGCAGGGGGGAAGAGTGGAGAGGGGGAGGAGGAGGAAGAGGATGATGGCGGGAGGAGGAGAGCCGGCTCCCTCCCTTTTTAAACCCTCTTGTTTCCAACTCCTTCTCGGCGCAGGGCCCGGGATCTAATCCCACCTCCTCTTCCTCAGCTTTTTTTTTTTTTTTTTTTTTTTTTGTCTCCCCCCCCCCCCCCCCCACTTTCCCTTTTTTTTTTTTTTTTTTTTTTTGCGTCGGCCCCCCCCCCCGCCCCCCCCCGCACCTTTCTGGTATGGTGTGGCGGGGAGGGAAAGAATGGTTCCCTCTTCCTCGCCCCACAGGGTCCAGGGAGGAAATGGGGACCCAGGGAAAGCCTGGGCGGCCAGGTGGCATGGCGGCGTGTTACCGTGAGGCTGAGGGGTGGGTGGGTGGATGAAGCCCCAATTCGGTTTTCCTGTTGCTCTCTTTGTCGGTCCAGAGCTGCTCCCTTTGCAACAACAACAAAAAACCCAGCGCCTTTTCAGTGTGTGTGTAAGTGTGTAAGTAAAGGACAAATCTAGCTACTATTTCTCGTAGGGGTTCCCCCCCCTTTTCCCATGTGGTTGTGAGGGGCGAGATAGGGATGGTGGGCGTGAAGGGATGCTCTGTTCCGGGGACACGTTTCCTCTCTTCCTCCTGAGCTGCCCCGATGACCTGGAGCCTCGGGTCTTCGGAAGGGCATCCTCCTTTCCCCGTGGGCAGGCAATGGTTGGGGGGGGGTGCGAATCAGGGCGCCGGGCCTCGTGGAAGGCCCTCCAACCCTGCCGCCTCTTCTGCTGCGGCTTCGTCTTCTCCCCAGCCACCTTCAGACTCGCCCTGAACCCGCCTGGCTTTCCTTGTAAGAAGATTCAAATAAAACCCGGCCCTGGTTCACGTGTTTTGTTGCAGTATCCCGCCAAGGGCACCGCTGCAGGATGCAGCCTTTTGTTCTCAGGCTCTGCCGCCCTCGCTGGATGGCTTTTTCGGGGCGATCCAGAACACGCGAGTCGCATAAAACCAGGAGAACTCCCATGTTTCTTCTCATTGAGGTCCCCAGTTTTGTGTTCTACACTTTGCCTTTCGAAAGCCCGTCCTTTTAATTTATAGTTTTGGCCTGCCCTTTACCGATTTCATTCCTCCCAGGTTCTAATAATCCTCTTGGCTTTTTCTTTCCCCCTCCTCCTGTGCCCCTGGAGCTGTAAGATATGTGTATGAACACATGTTTTCCTGCTAAAAATGTCCTCAAAGCATACTTGCACAGTAAAGTTAACAGAAGTCCTCTAAACGCTCTATAAAATGCAACAGCATACGAACATATTAACTTTTATTAGAGAATAAACTCAACTGTGGCAGCTCCAGGGGCAGCAGGACAGATACTTTCATAATTGGAAAGAGCTTGGATTGTGGCAGAAAGAGTCTTGGTTTTATTTTTTTGCTAGAATACACATTGGTTATGACCTGTTCTAGTGCTGCACTCCAAAAGAAGGTGTTGGTGCACAGTTAGTTGCACAAAAATGTAGGTGGTAGATATACAGGAGAACATGGATCATACTCAAAACAGTGCCATATAGACAACTGCAGCCTCATATGGGTGCATTTTTGTGTTTCTGTACTTTAGGCCTGGTGTCATTCTAGCTAGCAACTTGCATAGCTCTGAACTAGAGCATCTGGAGCCAGGGGTTGGTTGGGAGCTGAGTTCCCTATGGCCTTATAGAAAAGAGCCAGCCTAAGTGATGATGGGCAAGTGACATAGTCTTGAAACAAGAAAGGACTGGTAGAGCACTTCTGAGAAGAGCTTACCATAAGTTTGAGTTTTATCTTGACAGCATGTAATTATTAATTATTATTAAGCACAACCCTCTAGCTAAAATAGAACCCCTGTGTTCAAGCTGCTGCAAATTAAAGTTAGCTCATGCAGGTGGAAGCTGGTTTATTGGTTAGAGCAAAACTTTGCAACAACAGGATTGTGGTGTTTGGGAACACAATTGGCATTCCAGAAGAACTAAGAACATTTTAGCATGGGAACAATGGCTTTTTAGGTGACAGTACTGTAAAATTACTTTAAAATCATTTCAGCAGCTGTGTGCGCCTGTGTGATTTTGGACTAATATTACAGAGGAGAAATTTAAGCTGATTTAGTTAAAAGTATAATCTGGAATGTCTACTTAGTCTTGTAATACTGATTGTTTGGATTTATAGTGCTAATATTACGCTTGGCAATAAAAAAAGATAGATTTTGACTTTGTTTGTTTTGTTAACATGCCTGCCCATAGCCTGGCAGTTTTCTTTGGGTTTAATATGTTATTTTTTGAATGCAGGACTTTTGTCTTGTGCATATTAAAAATAGGAGCACAGGTCTTCACAGATTCTAGACTGTACATTCACGTTGTAGCATTCATCTTGGTAGGCAAATAATTTGTGATGAACTAATGAATATTAATTTGGGAGATGTGAGAAGAGGTGGAAATGAAGGTGCTAGCACAAACTGTGTTCATCTTGTATATATTAACAAAGTGTTCCTTGTCAAACTTGTACCCTGATTCTGCAAGTTCAGTGGGAATTACATTCAAGTAACAATTGTAGGTTTAAGCTGCAATTTTGCATGTGTTTTATGGAAAGTATTGTTGAACACAATCTCAGTGAACACAGCTTCTAGGTGAACACAAGATCAGGCTCACAATATTATGCTTAATTATGTAATTCCTTTATCAAGCTGTTCAGTTAATTTAAAAAATTAACACATGATATGTGGGTAGTGTTCTACAATCTGGGAATCATCTGTTGAACTTTGTTTTGAAACTGCCTTTTCCTGAATAAAAAGTTTGATTGTACCTTTGTGTACTGAGCCTAATTTCTGGAAACAATGTTTTATGATATTAATTTTCTGGACAGGTGGTTTTCATATAAGATATAAAAGAAATGTAAGCCAGCTATAACAATTTTACATATACATCTGCATTTCATTTTTTAATAGTTCAGAAGAGTTTACATATCTCAATACAGCTTTGCATAACTTTTTAAGATTTATTTTCAGTTTTTTTTGCAGTAGTTGCCCATTCTTCTACTTGTGTTACTCTGCTGTCCTTCATTCTAGCCCAGCCCTTTCATACTGCTTCCATGGTATTGAATAGCTGCACCTCTGGATTAGTCTTTCTTGCCTCAAGGAGCAAGCTGACTATGCTTTGCACTGTATTAATAATGAATCTGCTTAGGCCTGACTCAGAGGCCACATCCTATTTAGTTAACACAGTCACATAAACATTCCCCATCCCTGGGAGGCCCTTTCATATGCCCAAACCCACATTGGTTGCAAATAAGGCATGGAATTTGTTGCACATCTCCTTGCATGAAGGAGACGAAGTGATGCATTACTTCTGTGCATGCTGTTTCTCGACCAGAGAATTAATTAATTAGATTAATCTTTATATATATAAGGGGAGTGACGGGGGGGGAATGCAATGAAAATATTTTAAAACAAAGCATAGTTGACTAAGCAACAAAAATGATGTCAAAGAAAAATACATGCATTATTCAGAGATTAAGGCCTTTCCTTTAAAAAACACATCTAAATAGTTTTAATATTGTAAGCTGTCTTGAGTCCTTTGGAGGAGCAAGGTAGGGGTATAATTTTTAAAAATAAATCCATCTCTGCCTCCACTAAAGTAGACCAATTGAATCACTGAGATTTGCCTCTGTATGTCTCATAATTCAGTGGTTTATTTTATGGACCTACTTCAATTGGGACTGTCAGTTGGATTTAGGATTCAGTTTCCTCCTTGGTTACTTAGCCCTCAACAATACAGTCTTAAATAGGAAGGATTGTATTGTTTTGGGCTAATAAATTATCCTTTCATTATTGCATTTGACATTGTATGTTGTTGTGAAGTGTGAATAGCACAAACCAACAAATCTTGCATGTAGTGAGATGGAAAACAAAGGGAGAGGAGAAGGTTAAGCTTCAGCCTTCTTTTTTATGGCAGTCCTTCCTGGTCTTTAGAAAGTTAACACTTCCTGGAACACTTGAGAATTCAGCCCAAGGACTAGAAATTGTCATAGGAAACCTAGACAGCCTGGTACAGTATATGTATGGGAGCAGTGGGGCATAATACTCTTCGTTCCAGCCATTCTGCAGCAAAATTGCAATCTGTCCTGTATATCAGCGGTCCCAACCTTTTTCGGTCTACGGACCGGCTGGGGAAGGCGGGAGTACCTCCACACTTGTACACATACGCGAATGGCGCCACTGGTGTTTGCGTATGTACACAAGCACGTTTGCAGGTGCAAACAGCCTTTTGCGGGGGGGGAGGTCTGTGTTTGTGGCCCGGTCGGGCTTAGGCCGGGGCCCAGCACCGGGCCGCGGACCAGGGGTTGATGACCTCTGCTGTGTACTACCACTTGAGTTCTGGAGGCTAAAAGGCTACAGCCTATTGATATAACATATGTGCGTTCTGTGCTGTCAAGTCAGAACCAGCTTACAGGAACAGCAATAGGGATTTCAAGGTAAGTGTGATAGTCATGGAATAGTTTTATCTATTTCCACCCCCTTCCCAGTTAGTTTCCATGGCCAAGTGGGGTAAGAATCCTGTTCTCCAGAGTTCTAGTTCATCACTCTATCCACTACACCCGGAGTCCCCAACCCCCAGTCCACGGCCCGATGCCAGTTTGTGGCCTGGGCCAGACCAGGCTGCAGA